TATTATTATTATTATTATTATTATTATTACCTGAAGCATTAATCAAGCACATCCCAGGTCTGAATTTTCTAGTATTTTATATTGCCTTTTATTAGATTCTCAGCTGTTTCCTTGAAACAAATTTCAAACAAGATCATACCACACATCTAACGCAAAAGCAATCTCCATCCTTTTTCAACTGGCATCATCGACCCTGCATGTGTTTTCTTCCTCTCCCAGAGCATCATTTAGCAGGAATAACAGCTCATTTTTTGCTAAAGCCCACAAGACCATGAAATCTGGAGCTGATTATCAAGACAGCGATTCAAAATGGGGATGAACGGCCCTTCAAAGAAGGAAGGGCTGCTTATCTACTTAAACAGAATCTACTTAAACAGAATCTACTCAGTTCTGAACAGTGCAGTATTTGGTGAAGACAACCAGTCTTTCTAAAATAAATGGAAAAAAATTTGCAAGGTGATGCAACACCAAAGACAAACCTGCACTTGTACTATTAGTAGTATAATATGTACTTGAAATGCATAGAAATACATACATCTGATCCTGTCATAAAAATAATCTTCTTTTACATTGCAGACCATGCTATTTAAAAGGCAAAACATAGCAACCCCGGCAGGTAAATTACCCAGTGTTATGTGTCACCAGGTATCACCTCCCATTTAGTTTTCTATAAAAGCCATTAGCTAGCAATGATCGCAGCGATAAGGCAGCTTGGTACCCATTCCTTCCTTACCGAAACAAGCACAGCCTCATGGACCAGCTTGGGAGATTCATTCAATTGGATGCTAAAGGTATGTGACTGGACATAATAGAGCGCTTTAGCAAGAGTTTTGTTACATTTTGCTAGGTTTTCTTCAGGACTGACAAGCAAAATGAGAAAATCTGTCTCCTTTCTCTTGCAGCCTTATCCAAAAATAGCAATGGTGTGCATTTTCAAGGTATAAAGAAGGGAGAGATAAAAAAGCTTGTAGAAAAAAGATTGTATGCTTACTTAGGAAATGAGCAAAACTCTCATTACTGTTATAGCTCCTAAACTTGGATTTAAAACCATTTTTGTTAGGGTTTTTATTTGACATCAGTTTGTAGAAACCATGGGGTAAATGAAAATTAAAACCATTCCTGTTTCAAAGCTATGGAATCAGACTAGTACGAGCCTAAAGAAAAGAGAGCAGATTTCCTTTTGAACCTGTAACCTCTCAGGTTTTATCCGGAAAGTTTTAATAATGAAAGAGGGAAATTCCCTTTCATATCATTCCCTCTCTGCCTTATCTCTCATGAAGGACCAGGCCATTAATGGGAAGTTACTGTAAGAATCAGACACTTCGCTTTTGACAGCAGGTTGACAGCATCCTGTGGTTTTAGATCACTGTGGTTTGTCAAAACCCAATCTTTTCCACAGAAGTGGAACTACTCTTTCATATTAATGTACTTAAAAATTTGAGTGCTTAAAACATTGCAAGATGCAGTGTGTTCTTGGGCAGAAATGAGCTCGTCTCTTCACACACAACTCATCCATCCTCAGAAGCAAGTTCACTGCTGTCCTGGTTTACTGGGACAGAATTTTAGAGTCAGTTTTCTGTTGAGAAAACTGCAATTTTGTAAGGACTACACCGCTCTATTTCATGGGAACAAATTGATAAGACTTTGTCATAGTTTTTCAGCTAATGTTGGTATGTAATACTAAAGGTTGAGATTTAACAGATGCAGAGGCTGGGGGAAGTGGAAACCCAGGGCAGTGGATCCCAAGCTGGCCCTAAGCTGACCAATTAGTATTATTCCATACCATAAACCTCACATTCACTATAAATTGGGGAGTTTGCTGTGGACAGCTGTCTTCTTCCTCCTTTTTCCCCTCTTCCATGGCTGACATCTCAAGAACGACTTGTTTTTTGTTCTACCCCTGAGGTCTACTCCCTCACAATATTGGCTGAGTATAACTCTGTGTACTTTATATTAATACAGTTATTAATATTAGGTTATCTTATTATTTTATTAAACCTTTCCATTTCAATGCATAGGTCTCCTTTCCTTTTCCCAATCCCCCTCCCTGGGTGGGGAGGAGTCATTGGGTGATAGAGGAACTGTATAAACCACTACAACCATTTAAGAGAGAATTTACAATTAAAGAGAAACTCTACAACAGCTTTCCACTATCAAAATTACACGCTTTCCTTTCTAAAGTGCCATTTAAATGCTAATTTTAAAAATGCATTTTCACTTTCTTCAATATTAAGGAATACTGGAAAAGATACGATTGTACTTAATAAAGAAACACCTGCCACATTTGGAGGACAGAAGGAAATATCATCAGGAGTTCGCCTCATCCACTTCCTTTCATGGAGTGCATAATATTGTCCGAAAGCGGAGCAGGACTCGCAGAGTGCTGTGGCTGCTGGTAGTGGTGGGCTGTCTCACCACTGCTATTTGGCAAATCTGCAGTCGCTTCATCTACTACTTCAGCTGGCCAACCACAACGTCAGTGGTGGTGCAGTACGTGGAAAACGTCAAATTCCCCGCCGTGACCTTTTGCAACTTGAACAGGTAAAAAGTTATACCTGCTGTTCACTCTTGAGAAGCAACACCACTTCATCTGAGTAATATAAAGCGGTCAGGTTCCACAACCTGCTTGAACAAATCACATTAAACAAGGAAAATACAGCTGAGGGTCATGTTTCCACATCATGACATGAGATTTGAATGAAGAGGAAATTACAGGAATCAAGACAGGGAGGGTCGTTTTTTTTAATACTCCCTCCCCCTCCTTCAGATGAACAGTGGCACTACAGAGGTTTAAGTTTCAAAATGTAACTTGGAGTAGAAAAACCTCTCTGGTGTTGCTCTTCTAGATACAAGTGTTGCTTCTACATTGTGACTAAGGGACAGTCATCAATCACATCCAAGTTAAAAAGAAAAAAATTGCAAATACAGAGGTTCAAATAGAGACCTCATACAAGTGTAGAAATCTTAGGCAAAGCAGGCATTTCTTTTTCAGAGGTGCTCAGTTCCAGCTGATGTCAGTGGGATGTGCAGGAGGGAAGCAGTTGGTTTGTTTGGAAGTCAGGTATCTAAGCTGGAACTTCACCACAGATTTCTACATCTGATGATAATGGACAAGATTCAGATGCGGCCACTTTGGAAATAGCATAATAAAGCCATGCCCTGATTTTTAGAGCAAGTATATTATCTAGGCACAATTTTAGAAATACAGAAAGTTTCCCCACATTACTTCTTCAAGAATTGTAAGTTTTATTATCTTCTACCTTTGGCTGGCAGAGTCAGCCAGAAGCCCAAGTCCCAAATACCTGGAGCCCTTTTGCCCCTCTATGCCTGTTCCCACTGCTCCCCATAAAGCCATCTGCACACTGGGGATAGAAATCCCTCGATTACGATGCGAATATAAAAATGCCTCACTTCTTGTAACTACAGCAGCAGCACATTGTAAGTAAACAGGCAGCTGCTGAACCCAGCAGTTGTCTGCCTAAGCAACAGTTTGCTGCCACATCCATCTGTTGTTCGTGCTGTGCTTATTCTTCCCTCCTGTTTTTAGTAACCATTTTTAATTTTTTCTGTCAGGACAAAGAGGCACAGATCTACCTTTGTCTTTATGCCTTTTTTAACTAAAATTCAGTTGTGAAGAGCTGTTCCTACTGATCTTGCTTAAGTTTGGGCACTAAGATCTATTATGCAAGTACATTGACATGTTTTTAAAAATGAAATTACATACAATGGCAATTCTAAAGAACATGATATTGCACTTTTGTTTGGTTTTAGTCTGTTTTCAAATTTACAGCTGTTCTCTGAATCTTTACTTCACCGAAGGACTTCAGTGCTGCACATCAGGTCACCAGCCACAAAGCTCAAGAGAAGGTAGACTGACTGTCTCTGCACTGAGATGTAGTGCTTTAGTAAAGCAGGTGCATGAGATTACTGCAAATGCACTTAGAAATCCATTTTCTAGATGATGGAAAACAGACTTTTGAAAGGAACAGCTCCTCCCACCTGGTCTCTCACATGTAAATGCAATTTTTCAGCTTTTCATCAGTTCTACAAATGTAGATGTTGGCTAATCTGCCCTTTTTTTTTTTTTAAACAACCACACTAAATAGAAATATTTCTAATACAACCAACCAGAATAACCCTGGGAAGGCGTCCATTTTCTGTTCTCAGGTATGGAAAATGCCTTGTAGAAATGGAGACTATATTGTTTATTCATGTTGTAGACATCAAAGCGCAATGTAGGGGGCAAGAATCACTTCTAGATTGCAACCAGACAACAAATCACGTCACAGCTTTGGCAGTGGCAGCGTTGAGATGAGCCCTGTAACTCCACAGAACTCCTTCCCTGACAGGTTTCAAGCTCGTGCAGTAAGCAACCTCAAAATCATTTTTTTAATTTGGAACATCGTGTCTGGAGTTTTCCAGAAATTTCCTATGGAAGAAAAACAGTTTCAAGAGCTAAATGATTTCCTTCTTGGGAACCAGAACTTCAGCATCAAAGAGTTTACAAGGAAAAATGGCTTCTATCTGAACAGGAGCACATTGCTGGAATGTGAATTTTTTGGAAAGCCATGTCACCCACAGGTAAACGTTTTTTATTTTACTAAAACAGTAGCATGGAGGGGAAGGGGATGTCTTCTTACCACTCAGCCCAAGCCATTTAGTTTTGCCAGGTAACCACCTTGCTTTCCCTTTACAGTCAAATTTGGGAATTTTGGGAAACAGCCAAAGAATACGATCATCCCATTTTTATGTTGATTCTTCCATAAAGCAATTGCCAACTCAAATAGAAAACATGAACAGAAGAGTCAGGCCTCACAGTCTTTCAGATTAATCTAACCTTTAGATGTGCTGTAGCTGTCACATTAGCTAATGTTTCCAGTTAAATCATGAAGTGGCTTTGGGAAAAAATGCAAATATTGTATTTAATTTTGAAACATTTAGGTTTGAAACTGACTTCACTAAATATTTACTGGAAAAAAACAAACACGTTGGTCTTGAATATATAATTTCTATAGAATATAACAGGTATAGAAAAACAATGGGACCTCACTAAATGATTCTGAGCAGCTCATAGGTATTCATACACAAAGTGAAATTCCTCCTTTAAACTTCATTTTCTACAGAAAGGGATTAAATCCTGTTGAGCATTTCTATCAATTACTACTTTTCTAGTTATAATATTTAGCTCTTCCTCTGGGGAGAAAAAAACGACCAAACATTAGTCCATGTTTTGCACCGTGAATCACTAATGAAGCTTCTATTTTCCTTTATTGAAGGATTTTGAACATATTTTCACTGAATATGGAAACTGCTTTACTTTTAACCACGATGATCTTCCAGCAAGAAGAGTGAGTTTGTCTGGAAGAGGCTTACATTTACTTTTTGATGTCCAACAGGTACAGCTATCCTAAAGATAACAAACATCAAATCATACAATAACTTATAGATGAGTAGAGGTGTTTTGGTTTGGGTTTGGTTGGGTTTACGTAGACCTTCAGATTTTCAGGCACAAAATTCTATATCAAGACAATTTCTGAGTGAGAGGGTATTTTAAAGGAAAGATCTAATACAGGTTTAAAAATTCAGAATTATTATTGACTCTGTGTTCAGCTAAATGGTTCTGAAAGTTATGAGTGAGCACATGTGTATATATAAACAGTTCACCTACAGCTGAAGCACATAATCAGAGCAGTAATCTAATTTTATGCAAGCGCTTTGGAACACAGTGATTTCATTTTAATAAAAGGCACAGTAGGGAAGGTGATATGGTGTCAGTTTCTAAGAAGTACTGAATTTTAGTTGCAGCAGCAGCAGCTGAGTGCTCAATGCCAGCTAAGATCTGGCCTTTGCACTGTAAATTGTCTCTGATCTTATCAGAATTGTCTTTGACCAACAAAACCCATAAAATTCAGTGAATATCACCTTGCAAAATCAGGGAAGAAAACTAAAATCTAGAGTGAGACATTTTTTAGACATTCACTTTTGTACTCTAGGAGTTATGAGACAGAAGTGACAGATTCTGGAGAGAGAAGTGGAAATTTTGCGGAAGTAAGGGTAGTTGCAAGTAAAAGGAATGAGTATTCAAGTTATGAGTAAAGGTTCATATGTGTCTTCTTGCTTTTGACATTGGGAGATGACAGGAGGAATAAAAAACCTGGAAGTTTATAGTAACTGGAAGGAAACCCCTCAAAGGTAAATCAGCAGAGGAAATTCACGTCAGTTTGCTTCTATGTTTCTGCAAATGGCCAAAAGTGTGACTAGAGATACAACATCAACCAAAAAAGCATAGTACCATATGAAATACAGATAAACCTTCAGAGGGTAAGCAAAGCCAAAGCTATTTTAAATACTTATTTTTGTATCAGGAACAATTCACTGATGAACCTGCTCTTGGTTTTACTGATGCTGGTATAACTTTTGTTATCCATTCACCCAAAGAGCTTCCACGCTTTGACGGTTTAGGTTTATTGACACCGGTCGGCACGCGTGCACAGGTCGCAATCCAGCAGCTGAAGGTAAGGACCTTGAGCATCAAGTGCAAATATCGGTCTTTAGTGTCTCTAATTCTCTTCTGAAGCATGACTATGAATTAGACATTTTGGAAGTTAAAATATTTATCAGGCCAAAGTGAATCCTAAAAATAACATTTCTCCCAGACACAAACAATATTATTGCATTTTTTGAGGGGAGTTGGAGATGGGTATCATTGGTCTTCATAATCTGTTTTTACTAAAGTCAACCTGTCTTTTCTAATATCTTACACTCTTGCTGACATATAATCATACAAGGACACCGCAGCATTTCCTGGTCAACACCAGTTGACTCATAACAGTTAAATTACAACATTACTGCTTGTGCCTTCAACGGGCTTCCTTTAGCACTTTAAAAATTTGAGAAAATAATGTCTACATTTGCAACAAAGACCAAAAGTTGTATTTTCTCTTATTATTACCCCACAGTCAATTATCCAAGAATACCCATGGGGAGAGTGCAAGCCTGATATAAAGCTTCAGTACCACGAGATTTACAGTACTAATGGATGTTTGCAGGAATG